ACTTCTAGCACAGTTTGACCGCACTATGTGACTAAATTGCACGTACCTCAATTTTAGTACGAGCTATATAGCTAACACAGACTCAGTTGCCAGCTAGCAAACTAGTTATAAGTCCAAACATTTTAAGATTAACTTAACAATTAACAGCCCACCAAAATCAAAAAGGTACTAATTTACTTCTAGCACAGTTTGACCGCACTATGTGACTAAATTGCACGTACCTCAATAAAGCGGCTTCCTAGAACTTTATCTGCACGCTCCGGTGATCCTGTCAGAAAATGAAAATTCGCGCGCTCGTCCCCCGGATCCGGCCCGTAGCTGCTTTGATTCTGCTGACATTATTGCGTTCCCGCCACAGAAGCCTGGGCCCGGGCCATGTCCGTATCGCAGCTGTAAAACGGATGTGACTAACGCGGATCTGCCGGACTAGAGGCGGGTCCGGATCGGAGTCAGCTGCTGTCTGGGAGGTTAATGCAGGCCTTGCTCAAGGACCCAGCAGAGAAGAATCACTCCAAGCATTCACCAGATTTGAACCAGCAACCTTCCAGTTATTGATACAGATCCCGAACCTCAGAGCCATCACTCCATCCCAGTCTCTTTAGGGGGAGATACCAACAAATCTGTTAGCATATCTAAAATAAACAACAAATCATTTCTTTTTACAGTTATATTGGTTTACTCTATCACTGTCATGGTTCCGGGCGGCTCGGGCACGACAACGAGGCATAGTGCAGGCACAGAAAATGGCAGACGACCCACTTGCGGCTCCAGGAACAGAAAAGGGGTTTATTAAAGAAAACAGAAAATACTACAAATGACTAACCAAAAACAAAGGACCACGAGGGGTCAAAAACTAAAAAGGGATTAATTAACAAAACTAAATAACAAAACCCAAATACACATTGAACACTGAAAATCTCAAAACCATTACAACACATACAGAACACAATGAACCACCGGAGAGCTGAACAGAGGCAGGAACTAAAATACTAAGGGGTAACGAGACTAACACAGGACAGGTGAAGCTAATTAACAAAACCAAGGAAACAGGGCACAGGTGAAACTAATGAACTCAAAAGGAACTGAAAACAGGGAAACTAAGAACTAACCAAGGAAACAGAAACTAACACTGGGGAATTACAGAACAGGTAAAGACACAAGCAGGGGCACCAGGAACAAAACCAATAACCAAATACAACATCACCAGATACAGGAACTAGAAACACTCAAATGAAACACTAGGGAGCAAAGTACAAAGACAGAGGAGGTGGGATTTGAACACAGGACAGAATGGTACACACAACTGGATGTGCAACACATTGAGCCATATGACAAGACAGGTAACAAGGGAGAACAAAGACTAACATAAAGAACGGGATGACCAGCAACACCTGCTGGCCAAACGGGGAAGGGACAGAGTGGGACAACAGGGGCTGACCCTGACAATTACATACTAAAGGCATGCAGGTATACATTAGACAATTGCTTTTAACTGAATCACTTTTCAGGAGAAATGAAGCATTGCTTCAATGAGCTGTAAGGGTACCAACAAATTTGTCCACCTCTGTATATAATATAATAATATACACTCACCTAAAGGATTATTAGGAACACCATACTAATAC